AAAAAGCCTGTGTTTTTAGGGTTATTAACGAAGTTCGTGTACTCAGACCAGTAATATTTGGGGTCACAAGTTTTAACCATGGATATTTTGTGGGTCAGAAGATAAAAAGTTTGGGAACCACTGATCTGTAGATTGATTGGAATTAAATGAAAGTTTGTTTGGCCAGTGACAAATTMAATTCTGCTTCTCCTAATTTTTCAAAAGCACAGAAGAGCTACTTTAAAAGAGCTGAGGAGCTGCTGGTTGGAGACCCCTGGGAAGCAATGAAAACAGGAGGTGTATGTTGTGAGTGGCTAACGTGCAGAGAAAAGGAGGGGGGCTTGTTTGACCCTGTTACAAAATCTACCAATCTATAGGATGGAGATCACAGCTTTGTAATAACTGCRTTGACTTTGTTGTTCTTCAGCCACTGTGTAACTAATTAGTCCATCTGCTGAGGGACATTGTCCATTTGAAGACCATTTGTGTCCAAGCTTGAACTTCCTGGTTGATGTCTTCAGATGTTGCTTCAATAACTACATGAAGTTCCTTCACTGACCACCAGGCTACCACAGCCCCCTGCTTCYAGCAGTGTTATTACTCACCGACCATCAGCACACTCGCTTCAGTTTTGTTGTTGTTTTTCACTGTTAGGGAAAAGGGCCCACAGAGACAGATTTAATTACACAGTAAACCTTCTTTTCTCCTTTTGTCTTCCTGTTTTTGAATATTAGGTAAAGCGCAGCATGGTTTTATAGATCTGGAGATGCTCCCACCTGAACTTGGTATTACCATCCTGTCTTACTTAAACGCCACTGATCTGTGCCTGGCTGGCTGTGTGTGGCAGGACCTGGGACAAGACGAATATCTGTGGCAGGGGTACACAGCTTTACCTCCTTATGCATTCTTCTTCTTCTGTGTTTCCTGTTGTGTAACTAATGTTTTGTTTCATTAGGCTGTGCAAGTCCACATGGGGACACTGCTCCATCTACAACAAAAGACTACCTGCTGGTTTCTCATATCGAAGGCTCTATCTACAGCTAGATGAAGGCAGCCTGACATTTAATGCTAACCCACTGGAGGTAAAACATACAATCATATGGAGCCTGAGGTGTGACACAAAACTTACATTTACTGCGGAAATATTTCCTCTTTCTCTCTCCGTGGCTGTTTTGTAGGGTATCAGCTACTTCATGTCTAAAGGTATTCTTGTGGATCATCCTAAAGAGTTGGCCAAGTTCATATTTTACACCAGACGTCTCAACTGGAAGATGCTGAGGATTTACCTGGATGAGAGGTCAACACAAATACTATACACACAACTCACCTGGCCTTGTTTAGTGTTTTTGTGATGCTTTGGTCCTTTTGTATAGTGTGGGAATAGCTGTGTTGTATACCTTCAACCCAGGATGGTCCTGTCTTGTTGTGGTTTCAAACAATGAAAGCTAACTCACAGGTCTTGGTTTGTAGTCACTCAACTTGAATTGAATCCTTTGCARTAATTGTTGCAATGAACTTTGAAAAGCCTGGTTTATGGTTGACGCGTTGCAACTGGTGCGAGGGTACGCTCACCAAAAGTGACGCAATCACGCTATCCCCACCCCCGCGCGGTGTCCCAGCGCGTGGTCTTGCACCTATGAAATTTTGAAACCCTGCACAGAATGTGCACGCCACGCCCCATTCACAGAGCACGTTTGTTCGTCAAGCTTTTGTTCTCCTATTTACAACATTTCACAAGTTATAAAGTGTTCTTCCACATGTCCTTTTGGAGAAACCTACAAGAACTTAAGCACCAAGTATAAACACCTCCACTGCTGGTGAGGGTGCACGCGCGCACTTTGACTACCCAAAGCGCGACTATAACCAAGCCTTAATTGACCGTCATTTCTGAGTTAGGTGAAGACTTTGTTCACTCAGTGGTTTCTGAAAGTAGTGGCAGCTACCATGGGCTGCTTTTTCTTTCTAAGTCGGTTAAAAACCTGCTTACAGCTTGTGTCTGTGTAGCCTGGTTCAAACCAGACCCTGTCCTTCACTTTGCTTTGTACAAGGGTCTGGACTTGATGCATAGAG